GACAGGCAAGGCACGCAGAACGCATTTTATACTGATGAAAAGTATGAAAGGGGAAGATCAAAAGTTCCTTTCACTCCAAGAAATGCTATAAAATATAGACACGATTACGAAAAATCAGTTTTAAGACAAGAATAAAACGTTTCACTTCATTTGAACTGGCATGCAAAAGTTCAACCAAGCGGTGTTTTTGTTTTTGTTTTTGTTTTTGTTTTTCACTTTTTAGTGCAAAATAGAACAAAAAACAACAAACAAATAAGAATTCTACATTCGAAGGACACTTTGTCGTAATCTTGTGTGAACATCCTGACATAATAACATAATAGCAACATAACAGCATAAACATAATGACACAGATAGTGACAACGAAAAAACTGGTTTCCTATGCATTTATGTCGATATTCACATTGCGAAATAAAGCTAGCATGTCGTTATGTCGCTAGTGTGAACTACAATTGTAGGCCTTACAGACCACGTAATATTCTCTAGAGAATTGTTCCTTTATCCATCTTAAAATTATTCATTCTTATACACACGAATATTTGAAAATTTGAAAGCTAGAATTCTCAAGAGTATGATCACATAGTCTGAAATGGGGCAACAAACTGCCCCAGGTAAAATGACCCATTCAGTCGTGTACACCCCGCTTATTGTTTAGACTAACCACAGTCGATTGTGAGTATTGCGTGATAGTGATTTCGTTGAAAAATAGGATTTTGTATGGAATATTTACTAGATGGACATGCTTTAGGAAACAGTAATACTCTCTCTGTTCAGGAGCCCTGTCTATTCCCTCCACCTTAAATTCCCAGTGGACTGACACATTTCGCCGTGACCGCTGTTTCGTAATATTTTAGCTGACTCAAAGCGTAAGGTAACCTGAGAGGATGGGATTGAACCTTTTTAATAGGAAATTCCAACTTCATGCCAGTATGTAATACAGTAAATTTCTAATTGCTCTTCGCTTGTTCATTAATGTTCGAAAAATAAGGCCCTTCACGTCACGGCGTCACGCAACGCTTCTCGTCACACGCAGGAGCCATGACTATGCTATGGCTCATGGGCTCCTGCACAGTCATGGGCTCCTGTTATTGTACGACTGAGTTCGGATACCCCGTGGGTTAAGACTCGTGGTCATCGAAAATTGAGGGGACCCCCAGAAAGTTTTTCGCCTTGTAAATCTATTCAAAGTATACATGTAAATTTAAAGAGAATGTCACATGTTGTCATGCTTGAGAGAATGGTTATGCAATTCTGGATCCAGACGCAGAGTAAATCACATTAGTGTGAATAATTTCAAGAGCGATGTCATTTTTGAGCGAAAACAAGTTATTGATCGGAGGGATTGCACTATCATCAGCAGCAGTAGGATTTGTTACTGCTTGGGTTTTGGGACGTAGGGGCAATTCACTCTTTAAACTCGGCAAGACCCACACTGAACTCAGCCCAGTCAATAGATATGTTATGGAATATGGAATCCGAGAGCCCTCGCCACTTAGAAAACTTCGACAGGTAAGAATTTAATTGAAGAGTATATTATGGACAAATTTACCATAAGGGGTTACACGACATTGGACAAGATTTCTGTATCGTCAAATATGGCCGGTCCAAACGTCGTTTCACTCGGGTGCCGAGGATTTAGTTCGCTGAATAATTTCGACCTTGAGTGACTTTTAGCGATGGTTGATTCAGACGCCGTGTCGAACTTAAGGTGATAAACCAGAGGCAAGCAATTATCGATGCGGAATATCGGCGTTGAGAAATGCAAGGATTCTGTGCAAACCAACAAGCTATTTCTAAACTTTGGCGTTAAGGATAAAATTTCAGGGAAAAGCATAGGATTGCCCACAGGGCACCCATATGAGCGGATTGACACGTGTATGTGTAACATAACAACCTCATCAAGGTTAAATCGCTAAAATTCGACGTCTCGAGCGGTAGAGAGGACAGGAAAAAACAGCAGATGGTAGGTTTACGTTATGGAACTTGGCTTTGTTTTTTTTATTGACACCCGTTCGATATTCCCTACATTACATAATTTTTTTTTATCATTTTACAAAGAGTCACAACCACCGCCCGGATAGCCCTCGGTGGATTGTCTCTATTAGCATTTTTTGTTGGCAAAATTAAACTTGCAAATACGAAAAGCTCCATGCATGACTAATCAAGCCATTTTATTTCTAAACTGACCTTCTTAGAGTCAGTCATCAATGTCGTTATATCTCGATCACATTTCAGTAATACACAACCCTCGACTACATGAGAACACACTACGGTAAACGGCAGGGACATTTTCTTATAAAACTGCTCTCGTTTCTCATCGAGCCCCTTGTATACAGTGAATAAATTTCCAACCACAAACCGTGGCGGGCGCACTGAAGAGTGAAAGTGGGGGAAGCGGGCCTATTAAAAAAAATTATACCACTCTCCCCGATAAATTATTCCGAGAAAAAAAATCGGGTAGAAGGGAACTTCGAGGGAATACATTTTTGTAAAATTTGAGCATAACTCGCTAGGTTGGCCTTGTTTCAGGAAGGTTTCGGGAATAATTAGTAATCCGATATTCCATTCGCCACTAGAAGTTCTGAAAAAGAAAAAACGGTTTTTCTGATCGAGGTGAAAGCGGCTCTGGTCTTACGGATGCAGGAAGGAAGGAACCCAGGGGCCCATAAAAGAGCTGTCTTCATTTCAACCCCTTCTCCCCGTTCGTCTTTCACCCTTCATGAACAAAGACAACTGAGGCCTCGTTAGGTGGGGGTCTGAGTATCCCACACTCCGATTGCAAAAATTACAAATTGTCCTACTCGATATTCCGTTTTATCTGATCTTAATATACCATATCCCACCATTTTTTCCATATCTCGAAAACACCTAATAGGGCCTCACTGTGATATAACCTGGGTCAAGGCTTGAGAGGAGAGGAAAGGAAGAGTTTTGTTAAACAGGACAGTGAGACCATTTATCTAATAGCCATGTTACGTTACTGACCTTAAATAGGCAACTCTGGACCGTGCAGACAACGCACTGCTTTGTAGTGCTGATGAAGCTCAACTTATGAGACTGTTGATGCAGCTGATCAAAGCCAGAAAAGTTATAGAAATAGGTAAGGTAAACATCTAAGGGTTGAAGTGTGAGTTACCACAAAGCGGCTGATCTTTCATCTCTACCTCCTTTTCTCAGTTTCTTTATCACTATCTTTAAGTAGGAAACGTGTCGATCTGAAATATGTCTCACATTTTCAGGGACGGAGCTCGTAACAGTTCGACATCCATAAAATATAGGTTTACTGATGTACGTTGCTAGCACTTATCGCACTCTTCTGGAGAAAAGTCCAACTGAAGACAAAGAAAAATAGTGCATCGATGCGGAGGACTTAGCGAATTCTTCGGCCCTCTCCCTGCAGTCCCTTTACTTGTTGCCAGATTATGTACTTATTGACTGTGTGATAGGACCGGACGGGAAAATATTTGGCTCGAGGTCAGGACGTACGGACCGAGCGTAGCGAGGTCCCTGCGTCATGACCGAGAGCCAAATATTTTCCAGTCCGCCCGGCCCGACCTCACTCGGTCATTTTGTTTTTGTAAGTCATCAGATAACTCGCATCGATATTTTCCGGGCCGTACGCGTTTCTAGTAGAGCCGTGCGCGTTTTTCCGGCCCTATCGAAGCGTATGGCCCTCACACGGGGCCTTTTTTCTATAGTTTTCCAATGAAATAGCGCGCTGGGCCGTACGGGTCATATGATAAGTCGGCTTACAGCCCAGTCGTCAGGCATCTTCAAAGACCCGAAATTCCAAATTCCCTGATCTTCTTGTGTTTGCTCTTTTTTCTCGAGATTGAGATGGAATGCGAGAGAGTCACGACAATTGCTTTTGCTATCATGTTTCCTTGCAGGTGTTTATACCGGATACAATACTCTGAGTATGGCCATGATGCTGCCTCCTGATGGCAAAGTTGTGGCATGTGACATAACAGACAAGTTTGTGAAAGAAATAGAGGGCGAGCGCTACTTTAAAGAGGTAAATTGACACATTTTATTGAAAAATATCTTCCTAAAAGGTAGACGACCCTCTTCGTATCGAGTTCCCTGTCGATTGTACAGCCATTGTCATAATCTTCAGAATGAATTGTGCGGAATTTTGTACTTAATCAGTGCCTGTGCTGAGTGAGACCTTGAATGCAATCTCGATCCCAGGCTCTCTCTCCTTTGCCTTCCTTATCTGTCCTCAACGGAATACTCAACAGGAGAGAGAGAGAGAGAGGGAGAGAGAGAGAGAGAGAGAGAGAGAGAGAGAGAGAGAGAGCCTGGGATCGAGGTTGATTGAAATGGTCAATATGAAGTCACATGGTACATATGAGGTGCAGAATTTCCTGCCCTTGGGTTTCTTCCCGGACACGAGACGTGGCATAATTACGTCAAAACCCTTGGTTGGTACAGGAAAAACAGCTTAAGTCTCTGGCATTCAGGGCACCAATGACACTGAGTAAAAGCAGAGTTCGACTCCACTTACTCCTACCAATTGTAACCACAATTGCAATGTTCCAGTTTGTAGCTACCAACTGTTAAGTTTGTTTCGTTTTACTTGGCAGGCAGGTGTTGAATCAAAGATAGATTTAAAACTACAATCGGCCATCACCACTTTAGGTAAGAGCTGCTTGTGATGACTAGCTGTTCTCGCCTTGCCTCATTTCTTTTTCTATTTGCGATTTACACAGAGAACAATTAAAACTTAGAGCAAATCGAAAAGGATTGCTTATGAATCAATTTGTTAATATTCTGAATTTTTCTTAATCTGGACAGTGTCGTTGAAGCGTTGGATTGAATGCCTTCCTGAGCGGTGCCTGTTGCTAGACTATGTATGGGGCGAATAGAAGTGCTGATAACTAACCCTCAACCCTGCGTGGAAGACTGGTCCATTGCGGGTTACCCCTCTCACCCCTCCCACCTACCGAACATTTTGTTCTTTTAATAATCTTCCGGTGCCGTTTTGAGACTCCTATGTGGACGAGGCACTGTGAAAGCATCGGTGTCCGGTCACGTGAAATTGCAACGTCTTTCGCAACTGGAGAATGCCCACTTACGGGTTAAGATATTTTCAAAGAAGGGAAGCTTAACAAAGGGCGGGCCTGAAAAGAAAATTTTTGTAGAAGATCATTTAAAATATCACTTCATATTTTAAATACAAAGCTGCTAGGTATACGTTTGTTTGTAACTTGTCCTTGTCGTTTTTCAGATGAACTGTCGGCTGCAGGAGAAGCTGGGAGCTTTGACCTTGTCTTTATTGATGCTGATAAGCTTTTCTATGACCAGTTCTATGAGAAATCGTTACAGCTTATTCGCAAAGGTGGACTTATAGTAATTGACAATGTAAGTGCTAAAAAAACAAAACTTTTGTTTATTTCTTTTAACTATTTTGCTGCGTCAGTGTGAGAAGTTTGAAAAACTTGCACCGCACACTTAACCAATGCAAAACCAAAACAAATCGCGCCTTCGTAAATCGGGCGAGTTTTCCCAGCCTTGGTGCGTGTACGCCCTTGGTGCAGTGCCATTTCACGATCTGCCACACTGCTCATACAAACAATACACTAGCAATGTATCGGCCAACACAACACCGACATGACACAGTGGAGACGCGCCATTCCACGACTCATCACACTACTGACATGTCGGCCGACGTATCAACACACCACTGACGTTTCGACGGACACTTCACCGGCATACTAGCGATGCGTCGGCCGATACAGACACACTAACAACCTCTCTGACGACGCATCACGGATACACTAACAATCTCTCCCCGTTACATTACGGTTACATTAACAATCTCTCTGGCAACACATTATCGACAAACAGGCACGTAGCTCGCTATCGTAACGCTGAAAATATTGTTTCGCCTTATTTAGTTAACACTTGATTGCATTTGATGACGTTTACTTATCTGTATTTCTCTCTGTAGGTTTTGTTGGGTCGCACAGTTTGCGACCCTGAAAAAAGAGCTTCAGATAAACACACAAAAGCAATTCACGAGTTGAACGAGAAACTTCATGGAGACAGTCGTGTTGCGATAAGTTTTCTTCCATTCTCAGATGGTGTTACTCTAGCGATGAAGCTCTGAATTATCAAAAAAATTGTGCAATAACTTAGGTGAGCTCACTGTTGACAATAAATTTGTATCTTTGTTTCCATGGCGTTTTATAATCGTACTTCGGATAAAAAGGATTTCTCTCCAAGTGTTTGAGGTCGACACAATATGGGACATGTTGCGAGGGCATGAAGCGCGGACATGTTGCAGCGACAGTCGTCAACGTGTGGCATGCCGGTTTTTAAGAAAACGTTTTGTTGTGGGGGCAGTTTTGTTTCCGCAGCATGTTGCATGACATTCATCCTGTTTGAATCCGTGTGTCATGAAGCAGGGACAAAATGGCCTCAATTTTCGATGTCGCAACGTGTGTACTGTTCTTGTAAACTGTCTCTACATTAACTGAGAAATGATTATTTTTCACTCTAGTATGGTATTGGGTATTTTGTTTTCAAGGAACTATTTTTCCCTCATCAACATTGGTAAATTTGCAGCCCTTCTCAAATATTTACGCAAATGGAAGCAGTTTTTTGTTCAGTTGCGATCATACATGTATATAAGAGCCGTGTACTAAGTTTAGAGGTCTGGGGTATCGACTTTTTTGCTCAGGTCTTAAATGAGGTATGGAAAATCACAGATTTTGGTCTCAAATAGTGTACGGGTTTCGAGGTTTAGGCCTCACACCCCCTACAAAAACTTTGGGGAGTACCCCCGGAGAGTTTCGATTGCTTTCCTTTTCATTTCAACTGTTGTTTTTATCCCAAAAAAGTGGATTATTTAATACATCAAACACGAAAGACCGTGTTTGACCACATTTCTAAACAGCGAGAAGAGAGTGGAAAATACGAAGCGAAGCGAAGTGTTTTTGACGAACTTTCAGGTGTTTTGAAATGTGGTGAAACATGGTTTGTCGTGTTTGAGATATCTTCTCAATCGAAACTAAAACGAAGGTGAAAATGGAGAATTCAAATCGTAAAATTCTATGCTAATTAAGATCAGATATCCAAACACCGCCACGATTGTGATTTAAATTTTCTTTGTTTAAACTGGATGAATTATTAAAGAATTTGAAAAGTATTGTTCAAAGGATGGATACAAAAAAAAAAAAATTACCTGCGTTGTAATTAACCGCGAGAGAAATATATCGCACAATAATTGGTGGTGCATTTTAAAATAATTACATAAAGCATAGATATTTGGAGCAAAAACACCAATAAACAGAACTGTATTATAACTAGTGGATAGGAAAAGGGAAATATAGTAACCGTTGCCGTCAAATAGAGCATAAGTTAAATCGCGGATGATTCACATGCGACAGGTATTTCACCGAACAAATAGAACATGTTTTATGGGTTACCAGACCATCACGCTACAGAAGTCCACAAAAAGACCAGCAAAACCATACTCATAATTTTTAGCAGTCAATTTTATTTGTTGTTTATTGCTTCTAACGAAAATTTACACATTTTACAACGAACTGACCGTGTTTCAATCGATTATAGTTTCATCGTCAACTCCTTAACAGTTGTTCTGCCCTCCGGTTCGTTTAAGTTTGTTTTTATTATTGGCTCTGACCTGGATCTCTCGATATTATTTTGTGACACGAAAGAATTTTCAATAAGTGAACTTGATCGCACAGTTTTAACACCAATATGACGCCGAGATCTTCTAAGCTCCGTGGTGTTTTTCGGCAATTCAGCTTCGCGCTGAATGCCTTTCCCTCTTGGGGCATTTTCAATCCTAACTTTTACAATTTTTTCATTGCTCTGTTGTGTGAATATGTCTTTGCTTGCTACCCTCGATGGAGCTGACATGGGTCTTTCCTTCACTGCCTTACTCGACCTCCTCAGAAGCGTATCTGAACACAGCATAACACTAAGAGACTGTGTTCTTAAAACTCGTGGGCGTTGAAGATTTTCAACATCTCGCGACGCCACGGAGCAGCGATATGGCCTTACACGACGCCCTGCGCGAGCTGCTGGCCTGTTTCTGCACCTTAACAGCTCTAATGTAGCTTTCCTTAGGCGGCGGTTTCGATACCAGTACAATAATGGGTTGAACAGAGAGTTTAACAGAAATGTTGTTTCTGCACATCGTATAATCGAAACGTGGCGGAGAAAAGGCAAAACGTCCCGAAAGAGATAAACGACGAAGGTCGGAAAACTCAACGCTGCAAAGAAAACCGTTAGCCAGAACGTCGTGGACGCAAACTTTTTTTCAAGCTTCCTTTTGACCAGGACATTTACTGAGCTGTCTTGTGTTTTGTTCCGTGTTCGCACTGCGAGATAAGCTTTGACATAAAAATACGCTATAAGAGATAAGCAGACAAACCAAAAAATGGTCAAAATGACATCTACGACTAATAAAAGTTCACGAGGAACGCTAGCAGCTTCCATTATAACTAATGAAACAACTATTACTAATGACGATATCCATGCAGCTCTCGTGTACTTGTTTACACGGTCTCTTGTAACAATAGCCTTGTACTCCATCCATTTCACTACGGCCACATATCTCTCCCAAGCAATCAGGAGCAGGTGAAAAAACGACGCCCAGCAACCAACATGCAGAAGAGACACACTTATGATATCTATCGTACAGACAACATTCACAGTCAAAACTCCCTGGATAATTAACAAGTCTAACGCGATTGCCACAGGCATGGTTACAGCGCCCACTAAAAGATCAGCCAAGGCCACGCTAGACAACAGGATGTTTGAATTTTTTTTCAATTCTCTTCTCGTCCTCGCTGCTATTATCACCAAAAGGTTTAACAGTATGGTAACGGGACAAGCAATGGTCGTGATGGTAACAATTACCTTAAAAACGGTTGTCTCATTTACGTCCCAGATGTATCCTGGTGAGTCCGGGCAATAAAACATTGACCTCGTTTTGTTGGAAGGATTGGTGAGTGATTCGGTGTTCTTCATTGTCGTGATCGATACACCTCGTTAAAATGGATGATTGCATAGACTTAGTTGTTCGACTGGTTGGTTCCCCTTTGGTTTTGCAGTGTTAGTGTCTTCTTGTCGAATATTTGCCAGTCTTACGCTTGCTCCACCGAGTGGAAAGTACGGTCACGTCGCAAATGGCGTAAAATGTTTGTTTCCACTGATCTCAGACGTGTCGAGGCAGTGGAGTGACGTCAGAGGTTGTATTCTGGGCGTTTGAAATCTTGTCAGTTGGTACTTTTTTTATTTTTTATTTTGTTCAAAATATATTGTGTGTATTGAGTCAAACAGTAATTTATTCGACTGGCTTACTCTATTCAGTAATTTCTATAATAGCTGCAGCTGATCACTCAGCCACATGTTCGTCCAAAATTGTTTTGTTTGAGACAATTCTTAATGAATGTAGTTAATTATAAAGAAAACAGCGTTAGTGGGTTGAAACGTGAGCAGTTCTTATATAGGCTGAATGCGAGAGAGTATTGTAATCGATCGCGACAGGAAATTTTCTCGACAAAACTCAGTGGTGGTTTTGTATCAAGAAACAATCCAAATTGAGGCAAGTCTCCCCATCGGAAAAAGAAAGAGAGAAGAAAAAAAAAAAAACATCTATTTAGCTCATATTTTAATATTTTAGTTCTTCATCTGCGATCGATGTTCTCTCAATATTTGTTAATTACCAACTCAGACATAAATGTCCATGATAAACAAATGATTTTCCAAAGTAGCTTCAGGTCCTGAAACGGGACAATAAAGAAAGTAAGCTGTCTATTCCAGTGCGCCCATGCACATGCCATTTCTAAGTTTGGAGTGTTTTGGTGTCTGGTAGCTATAGCCACTGGGATTTTGAAGCCGGTTCAGTTTTACGAATTAATTTTGTATCGTTATTTAAGTCTAAACACTATGGCCCGATTATTTAAACGAAGTTTAGACAATGCTTATGAAAGTCGTCGTCTAACCCATGCTTAAACCATGAGTACCGATCATTTAAACGTTGTGTTTCCATGACAGTGTTTAGACAGTGTATAAACACCGACTAAGCAACAATAGTAAGTTAGACCAGATCAAAGGTGCGTTTAAACGCTGTTTAACGATATTTTCATGGTCAGCCATTTTGAAATGGAGGGACCTCTGCGCGACAGACAGTTAACTGAGAAACTACGCCAGTCGACGTAATATACATGTTTGACAAATTCGGCACCTTAGGGATAGATTTAACCCATTGGAGGAATACGACGACGAAGACTTTCGATTGCGTTTTCGCCTTAGAAAGGACTCGGTCAGTGACCTCGTAAAAATGTTGGATAAAGATCTTTAGCATTAAACAAGGAGATGAGTGCCGCTTCCACTAATGCAGTAAGTGCTAATTACTCTATGCGACAGGAACTTTTCAGAGGGTTATTGGCGATTTATTTGGTGTTTCTGTATTTGCTGCATGCACAGTGATTCACAAGGTTTCAAGAACTGTTGCGAAAAAAAAAGACAATTCCTGTCATTTCCAGAGAACCTGGCTGATACCAAGAGAAAGTTTTATGATATTGCGCACTTTCCTGCAGGTGTGATCGGGGCCATCGATTGTACCTACATCAGGGTCATATGTCCAAACAAATAAAATGCTATGGCTTTTGTTGACACAAATTTTCAAAACTCGGCTTAAAACTCATTTATTTAAGGAAGTCTTTTTGGAATGATTTTATTGATTCTTGTTTTATTATATTTTTAATTATATTCTATTTTAATCATATTTTATAACTTTGTAAAGCGCCTAGATCACGCTTGGATAGGCGCTATAAAAATACTATGTATTATTTATTATTATTACTCCATTAACGTCCAAGCCATTTATGATATAGCGATTCCTTTATTACTAACATTTTAGCCCACTGGCCTGGATCTACTCATCTACTCACGCATTTTTGAGAACAGCAACATCTCAGACAAATTAAGGGATGGTGCTCTTGATGGCATTCTTGTGGGTGGCAGTGGATACGCTTGTAGGACATATTTCATGACACCAATCCTCAAGCCAAAGAATGCAGGAGACGTGCGTACGTACGCGTTCTAGGTGTGTTATTGAGGGATGCTTTGGATTGCTAAAGCGACGTTTTCCGTGTCTGCACTTGGGACTGCGCACCGCATAGGCGAATACCCTCGTCATTATTGTGGCCACTGAAGTGTTGTATAATTCCGCCCTTTTGCATCGAGAGGAAGACTTTGATGAAGACATTGAAGATTAAGATGTTCTATTTGCCATTGTGGCTGCAGCAGACGCAAGTGGTAATGCCAAACGCCAGCTCATTATTTCACGATACTTTGCTTAATAAGATTAAAGACTAAATTAAATTGCATGTAACATTCATTGACAACAAAATAAGAAACAAAAGAGAACATTCACTGCAATCAATTAATCTTTTAATTCTTTTGTTTCGAAATTTATGATGGTTACATTTCATGACATGAATATTTCAAAGTTCAAAAAAGGTCAAACTACAGGTTGGTTTACGAAATCGTATGCAGGTGGCAAACCAATTCCCATGTTATTGCCTTGGTTCATTAGCCTCCATTCTTTAAGCTTTAGGACCTTCATTTTTAATGTGTGTTCGTCCCTCGCCATGGACAAAAATGGCCGGGTCTTCCTCCTCAAGGGAGTCTGGTCTTTTGCGTTTGCACCTGTCAATGTAATGTTATTTGATGATCAATAACAGTGAATTATATAATAAATCATTATTTTAAAAAAACCCAGTTTTTAGAAGCGATTGAAAATTACTGTACTTCTGACTATCCCCCTTTTTCGTGACTTTTGCCACTCCTTTCCTGCTAATAACTTCAAGGTCAGCAAGTAGACTTGGCTCCACTTCGCATGTAATAACTTCCCTCTCGTCTTTGTCCCGCCTTAACTGATCAAGTTCCTCTCCCGCATCATCATCAAATTCCTGCTCTAGAGGATAAACTGAGGCTAGGATTATGTCCGCTACTTGGGGAGGCACTTTTCCTCCACCAGTTTTTCTTGCTTCACGACGATAAAATTCATTTTCCTTTTTCGACTGCAGTTTCAGCGACCTCCAGCATCCTTGAAGCTGACTAAGGTCTCGTTTGATACCGTTGGGATTTGGGGAGTTAAATTTAGTTAAAATTTCCTACCATACCGTCGCCTTTTTTGTTAACGTTTTACTGTCATGGCCTTTGCATGCTTTCCACTTCTGGAAAGTCTCTACCCAGTTCGGCCAATAAAAGTTTTTCTTGTCCGCTTAAATTTGTTGTGCGACTTGTTTTAGAAGCCATGTTGCAGAGACAACCACTACCTCGAAATTTGCCTACGAAATAACTCCGCAGACAAAGCATTTCCCCGTGAGACACGGTTTAGCCACTGGCTCGAGAAAACACGGTTCAACCGTGTTTCAATGATGAATTTTAAAGATCGTTTAGCCATTGTTTACCGAGACGTCTAAACCGTGGCTCAGCCCTAAACAATGATTAACTTAGACTTCGTTTATAAACAATCGTCCCTATCTCTCCCACGCTGGTATCTCAAGTTTTCCTAAGCGAGCATTCGTGAAGCGAATGTACTGTGATATTATTTACAACAAGATACAGTGCTCGGTATGATTGGTAGAACCATTTACACTTCTGGCGATTGTACTCCACTCTTTTTTTCCTATAAAGAATATATTTTATAAGAATATCGAGGTTGAAATTTGCGAAATTTTAAGAATATTTTAAGAACAAACCCGTGGCCGAGTTTTTGAAAAGAATATAATTTTGTGGGTTGAAAATTTGTAAATGCAATAAAATTACATGTTTTAAACTAAACTGTACAAAAATTCTTCCTTCCCTAAACGGTAATTACAAAACCAGCCAAAAACACCCAGCAATATCTAATTTCATTTTTGCAAGAAGTTATGCTTGTCACATCGGGCTTTATTGTATCGCTGTGTCTCACAAGGACTGGGAACTACCGAATTCACGAATTTGATTGGCTGAAATCGATATTGACCGCGGTCTAGATTTTCCCAGCTAGACCGGCATCTAGACCGATTACATTTTGCCGTGAAAAAGTTGCAAACTAAATACAAAAATATTGACTATTTTCTTCCAAAATATTAGTTCCAGAAAATACCCATATTATGGAAGAGCGAAGCCTGATGAGGAAAAAAAGTAAAGAGGACGAGTTTGGCAGAATTAAGTTCAGCTCATCGCCGTTCGCAAGTAAAATGTCAGCTAGTACAAACCAGTTACATTAAACGTTCGGCCTGTACTCCCGACCACGGTCAAGATTCTCCCATACAGACCTCCTGCTCGGTTAATGAGAGCTAATTATTGCCCGCAGTCTGGCTAAAAAATTACGTCAATGCTATCAAAGTATAGAACGTAATAAGACAGATAATTTGACGTTTTGTCAGCATACTCCACTTTTTATTCCTATGATCTAACAATATTCACAAGATTATTTTTAGCCTAAAATCGGCCGGAGAAATAAGAATACTCAGAAAATCAATATTCTTAAGAAAAACGAGTGTAGCTGCAGCTGATCTTTCAGCCACATGTTCGCAAAAAATTGTTTTGTTTGGGACAATCATGATTCTAAATAAATGTATTTAATTATAAAGAAAACAGTTGGGTTGAAAGTAAGCATTTTGTAGGCTGAATGAACGCTTGACAGGAAATTTTGTCAACAGAACTCGGCGGTTTTGCATTAAGAAACAATCAAAGTTGAGGTAAGTCTCCCTATCAGAAAAAGAGAAAACACATCTATTTAGCTATATATTGTGATATTTTAGTTTTTCCTGGTCTCTCAATAGCTGTAAACCCATACATTTATGTCTAGGTTAAGCAAATAATTTTCCCAAGTAACTTCACGTCCTAAAATGGGGCAATGAAACAAAGTAAGCTGTATGTGTGTATTCCAGTGCGCCCACCTGCCATTTTTAAGTTTTGGAATGCTTTGGTGAAACATGTCTGGTAGCTATAGCTACTGGCATTTT